GTATTATATGTTTACGTATATATATATGTATTTAAATAAACATATATTTAATTTCTACCTTTTAAATGTGTCTATATTTTTTTAGTTAATTACACTGGTTTGGAGGGAAGCAAACTTGGCGTTTGGTGTTGGTTTAAAAAAATAATGATAAATTGACTGACGGAAAGGCCTAAAAACTTCTAATATATTGTGGTTCAAATATCAGTTTTTCTTAAAGACAGCAGCAGTAAACGTTTCATTGAAATTTTTCAAATTAAAAATCAGTATTTTCGAATATAATATATTAAATAAATGTTATAAACGCCTTATTGGTTTTATTTTATAACCTTTATTAAATAAATACCTTTTAAAAAAATATATGTTTAATTTTATTTTTATTATATTTTATTATTTTATTATTTTTATTATTTTATTGTTTTTATTTCTTTTTTTTTAATTTAATTATTTGGGAATAAATTTGTTTGTATAATCATATTTCTTAATTCATAAAAATGTGTTTTTAAAACCAAGCAAATATAATTGGAATTAGCTATAATAAAGTGTGAACGATGCTTAGGCGAGTTTAAGGCAGGCATTATATTTGATGGTTATCGATTATCGATACCTTCTGACAGCTGCGTGTTGGTTTTTTTCTATTTTGGCAAACATCTTAAGTAATAAACGCATATTTCTACAATAAATATAATAAAAAAAATCTTTAGGAAATATTAAAAATAAAAGTTAATTTGTTGTTATTTGGCATTTAACTTTAATTGGCGATAACTACAGCTCTGAGTGTATTATTAAGGGTTATAAAGAAGCTCGTCATAAAAATCCAACTGTAGGTAACCCAATTTAATTGAAAAACAGCACAAATTGAAGGCGGAGCTCGGCCGAAAATCGCTTAACCTGTTGCAAAGCGACTTATTGCGAAGTATTTGCTTGGCGTTTATTAAATTCTAGTCTTAGTTTAGCTCACGTTACTCATTTCGTAAAAAAAAACTTATTAACAAGTATTTTACAAAACTTCGTTTGATTTTTAAAAGAAAAATTGGATATTAAAAACACAAAACTAAAATTTCATTTCACTTTCTCATAATTAATTCTCATTTTTTCTCTCCTGCATTTCTTTTCAGTTCAATAAACTCACCGAGCATGACTTATATTTTGAACTTAAATTCGACATTACAGAAAAAGAAAAAATAAATAATTTTATTATTTTTTTCTTTTTTTTTTTGGGAAATTAAATTGAATAAAAATTGAAGTGTACAAACAAACCAAAAAAATATCGACCAATTCAACCAAGTGCGCGTCAAAGGTTAAATAATGAACACGTATGTATGTATGCATGTACTCGTATACACGTTGCATGTCGGTATAACACGTTGAAAGCTTAAAAAGAGCGCAACGATAAATGCGGACATGCAACTGCGAATGACAGCTAAGTACAGAAAATTTACAAAACTACAAAAACAACTTTCATTTGAATTTGTCTAACCTTAAACTTTCGTTTGCGCAAAAATTCGTACGGCCAACGGCTACAGTTCACAAATTATCTACTTTTTTTCATTGATGCTAGAGCAATAAAATCGTGATATTTGACTTATTTACGAGTGGAGTACAACTCAAATCTTTCATTAATAATGTGTACTTGAAAGTAAAAGCTGAGCGAGAGTTTTCCGTGCGTGTGCATGTTAGTGTAGTGAAAATGTGCATAGCAAATGCTTTTGAGTTTTACTCGAAATTACACAAATTGGGAAAGGAAAAGATATTTAAACAATAAAAATAATAAAAAAAATTTATGGTCTGATACATTTGCTTCCAGGAAATCAAAGAAACCCATGTGTTACAGGCTCAAAAACTTATATGCGACATATCATGGCTCGCGTAGGAGGCGGCTATAAATCGAACTAATCAAAGACAAGAATGCGTTAATGCATTCAGAATACCCATAGAATCAAAATCCACCCTTAGAGAAATCGAATGTAGTGAAGAGTGATTTTAAACCGACTTGTATTCCAAGCGAGGAAAAAGAGGTTCTCGAAAAAACTCTTAGCCGCAAAAAAATTAGGAAAAACGGCCACTTCTAGAGACTCGATTAGAACTGGCACAATTAAGTTCTGGATATGGTCGACTACAATTAATTAATTCATATTTATCAGATTTATCCAAGATATACTACATTTCCATTCCTCTTATTTGCTCATCTTACTCTTCTTTTTCCACTTTCTTACTCTTCTTTATATTCTTCCTCATCTCTCGCGCCTTATAACCATTATTTTTTCTTTATCTTTTTCTTTCTATTTTTCATATGTTTCTTATTTTACTGTTCCTTACTTTCTTCTTGTACTTGACTTACTTTGTTCTTCTTCTTTCTCTTTTCCTTCTTCATTCTTGCTAAAATCGCTAAGATATCAGCTTCTTTCTGCTCTCTAAAATTTCTTCCGTTGTCATTAGGCAGCACTCACCTAATTCCTATTTCCCTCCGATCCGAAGCCGTCGAAACAGCTTGTTTCCGGGAGGCCCAGGAAGTTGATATCGATGACTTAGACCAGTCTCGCCTGCTCCTAAGCGGGTCTGGATAGCGGATACAACAAAAGGAACAACTCTGTGGTGGTTTACAGCTTGGACAGTAGTCTCATCTCTCACATCTCGGAAATGAGCAGAGCTCTTCGCAGGAATAGACGATGATATAGAGAATATACAAAGATACAATTATCCAATATCTCCTCTTGTGTTCTCTTCTTGTCGCATACACTCGTATAACAGCATTTTTGAGAGTTACGATTTTATTTGTCGATATCATATTTCAATGGCACTCGTACCAGGCAATGGCAATTTAAACTACGCTTTGAAGTAACCCTCTTTTTTTTTTGAGAACTAAACAACTACATGGCCAATTACTGGTCAGTGCCCTTGCGCAACCGGCTTCCGTTTTAAACCGCACAGTCGCACATAACGCAACCAGCGCAGCCACCAACATCAAGTACGAGTTTCATGCGGCACCAGCGGCATTTTTTTCTTTTTTTTTCATTTCAGCTTCACTTTGCTGCAAACCTTTTGTGGTGTGTTGTTTTGTAATGAAAATAAGATATATATATATATATATATATACATAAAGTACATGTTACTATGTATGTATGTATGTATGTAAGTACGCATGCCTCAAATAACGATTTTTTCGCTTAATTGTATGTACTTGTTGTTATTGTTGTCATAATATGCAATAAGTACCGGCAGGTGTGCAGGTGAACAAGGCTTAAGTGCTTACATATTTATTTACTATACGAGTATGTACCTACTTACATACATATATGATGAATAAAAGTACCTTTCGTATATGTATGTATGTGTGCATAGCAGATTGTTGCAACTGCATCATTTATTTCTCTTTCTGCTTTTTTTTATACAATATTTTATTAACTTTAAAATGGTGCATTTTTTGTTTTTGTATTTGCTCACTTCAGTTGAACGCTTTTATTGTTTTTGCATTTTGCATATGCACCGAAGCATATACTGAAGGTATATATGTGTTTATGTATTGTACGTATGTATTTATGTAGTTATGTTCATATTGCATTTCAAATGGCATGCCATAAGGCAAGAGAAATACTTTAACGTAAATATGCTTTACTTAATACTATTTATTACATTCCACTGTAAGCCACATAATACCCTTTTTGCGCACATTTTACATTACACAAGAGCGAAATATTCCCATTTATGTGCATAAGAGTATATGTATATTACAATAACAAATAGCCCTTTTAGTGTACTTTTGGAGTATTTACTTGCATCTTTTGCGACCGCATTATTTCTTCTTCTTCCTCTTTGTCATTTTATTTATATTATATTTATTCTTTTTCTACCTGCTTTTTCTTATCGTTAATTTTTCCTCTCCTACTTATTCTTCTTTTTTTATTTTCTTCTTATTTTTCTTCCTCTTCTTTTCTTCTCCTTATTCTTCCTCTTCTTCCTTTTTATTTTTCTCCTTTTTCTTCTTTAACTTTTGTTCCTCTTCGTTATTTCTTCTTTCTCTATTCTTCTTTCACCTTCTTTCTTCTTCTTTCTCCTTTATTCTTCCACCTTTTTTCTTTTTCTTCTTTCTCTTTTATTTCTGTTTATTCTTTTTCTGCCTGCTTTTTTCTTATCGTTTTTTCTTCCTCCCTTTTCCTCTCTTTTTTATTCTTCCTTTTTTCTTCTCTTCTTATTTTTCTTCTTCTTCTTTTTCCCTATTTTTTCTTCTCTTCTTTTTCTTTTCTTCATTTTCTTCTCTTCTTTTTCTTCTCTTCTTTTTCTTCTCTTCTTTTTCTTCTTTTCTTGTTCTTCTCTTCTTTTCCTTCTCTTCTTTTTCCTTCTTCTCCGCCTTTTTCTTCTTTATTATTTATTCATCTTCCTGGTTTCTTCTTTCTCTTTTCCTCTTTAATCTTTTTTTTTCTTATTTCACATTTTCTTCTCTTTTCTTGTGCTTTATCTTTTCTTATTCGTCTCTCCTATTCCCTTATTCGCTTTATCTTCTTTTTTCTCTTTTCTTCTTATTTTGCTTTTTCTTGTTCTTTCTATATCTTCTTTTTTATCTTATTCTTGTTCTTTCTATGTCTTCTTTTTTCTCTTTTCTTTTTTTTATGATAACCTTTTTTATAATATTTTTCTTCTCTATACTAATCTTATTCTTCTTTTCCATACTCTTCTTTTTTCCCCTTCGTAATTACCTTCTTCCTCCTCTCCTTTTCTTTTCTTCCCATTTCTTTCTTTTCAATTTTTTTACTTTTTCTTTCTCATTTTTTCTTCTAACCGATTCCCTTTATATTTTCCCTTTTCTGTTTATTCCTCTTTTCCTCCATCTGTTTTACTTTTCCATTTTCTTCTCCTTTCTCTATTTCTTTCTCTTTTCATTAATTTTCTATTCTTCTCATTTATTTTTTTTTGTATTAAATTTCTTTCTTTTCTTTCTTCTTCTTCTACGCTTTTCATTGATAGAGTTTCTCTTCTTCTTTTTTTTGCAAACTATTCTTCACTTCCTCCTCTTTCTCCTCTTCTTCTTCTTTTTCTTTTTCTTCTTTTTCAACTGCGGTGCCGTAATAATAGTTCCCTTAAGGAGCAGGTCAAAGCTTGTCGATGTGATCGAGGTCGTCTAAGCTGATGGATAGGAAATGAGCTGCTCCAACGATTCCAGACATTAGGTGATGGTTGTTGTCTGAGTCAGGGTACAAAGAGGTATCTAGCATCACTTGGAGACTCGTTGTGCGCTGGACATATATAAGGTTCTAACCCATGATGCTCCATCTGCTAGAAGTGGCTGCTACTAACCACTTGATTGCTTTAATATTGTGACCTGAAAATGAGGTGTCAAGTTTCCAATCGAACTCTTCATCTATAATCGTCGGTGGCTGAGTTCCAAGGAAGTCATTTATTGAGTTGAAAGAGTTGAAAGATTCGTGATTAACTCTCTAAGAACGATCGGCTCATTTGTACGGTAATTCCTTACTAAAGTACCTAGGTAGCTGTTTTAAGCCGATATCTACGGGCGTAATCACGGCACTTTGCCAGATATTTCAGGTATTGTCTGCAAAGCTTTGCAAGTTTCAAAGTGTAAGTCCACCATTTGCACAGACAAAGTGATAAGACCTACATCAAAAATTGTGGAAGAGGTCGACTAAGCTCGTTGAAATTATGGGTCTAGAATTAATCGCTCAGGATTCTAAGCGAATTTCCGATTACAAGAAGAATATGAAAATCAACCTTGGTCTGCTGCTACTGCTGACGATCTCTATGAGTCAAACCGTTGCCATTTTGGGCTTCCATGAATTCTGCAGTGGAATTATGAACCAAAAGCAATTTTCGCAACTGCCCTGCGCCTGCCTTGCTCTGCTTCAAGTAAAATTTGACTTCGAAATAGCGTAACTACTTTACTGTTGGACCGACAGCTCATTTCAGGCATCGGTACTCTAAATGCCTGAAAATACTTTAATGAGAACAGTTTTCGGGTGTTAGCTTCTTTTATACAGGAATCTAACTTTCAGAATAGTTTTTGTTTTGGCTTCATCGGAGCAACTAGTTCTTGATCGACGAAGAACAATTGCTCATCATATTATATGAGAAGACCGGAGAAGAAGCGTTAAAGCGGTTAATAGGATATTTGCGAATTTTTAAGCCTGATAAAAGTAAAGAAAGTGATATTCTGAAGCCGTTTCAAACGATACTAGATTACATAAACTTCACCATCACTCTCAGCATCAGTCTCGAGTTCATCACATATCACATTCAAGGGAACTGCGACTTCTAATATTTGCTTGCAGTACGTGATCATGAGCACGGCGCATGTTCAAAGCTACGGTACTTTTTCTTTACCTTTAGTCTGCATTTTGTGTCTCCATTGTATTCGGATCTTGTGACGTCTGTCTTTAGAAGTTTTATTGTTCTTCTTAAGTAAATATTTTTGGGTTGAGCCATTGTTTCATTAGAAAGATCCCGAATGAAGTTTCAAATCAAAATGGTATATAAACGGTTTGTGAACAGAGTTTGATCAGCAATTCGCTAGTGTTATTTCACAATAGCAACAACTAATTTGGAAAGATGAAATTCTTCGCAGTACTACTCCTTGTCGCCATCGCATTCGCTATCGCTGAGGGTAAGTGCCTTAAATTATTATGAAGAATTCTCATATATTTTTAATACTCATGATGAACAAAATTATCTTATAGCACGTTTTGGCCGCATTCTCGGTGGTCGTGGTGGCCCTGGTGGTAATCCTCCACAAGGTGGTCCAGGTGGTCCCGGTGGCAGTCCACCACAAGGTGGTCCAGGCGGTCCAGGCGGTCCAGGTGGTCCAGGCGGTCCAGGCGGTCCAGGCGGTCCAGGTGGTCCAGGCGGTCCAGGCGGTCCAGGTGGTCTTCCTCCAGTCAACGCTACATCTGTTGCACCCTCCGCTTCATCAAGTGAAGCTCCCGCTGCTAATGTGACCGTTTCAGCATAGATTCTCTTAAGAATTTTATGTCGATTAGGATTCAATGCATTGTTTTCAATAAATAAAAGAATTTAGCAAAAAAAAAAATTGTTGCTTTATTAAATACATACATATTATATATGTATACACACGTACATATGTATAAGCTTGAAAAGGGAATTTAGCATAAGGTTATCGCTATGAAAGTCCCATCGGTCCAAGAACTAAAGCCTCTGCCTCTTTGTTAAATGGGCTGACGATCGTTTAAAGATTTTTTTAGCGAAAATTCATTTTTTTCGATAAAGCTCACTTTCAGCTCGGTTCGTTTGCATTCGGGACAGAGAAAACACAAAACTTAAAGAACTCTACGGCATCCTCAACGAGTGACAGTTTGGTGGAGCGGCATTATTGGTATGCTTTTCTTCAGAAAAGAAGACGATGCAGTTGTCATTCGTCAATGTAGCTTGCTTTACTCGGAGGTTATTGGTTTCGAAACGCTGTAAAGAACGTCGTCGACATTTTCTTTCCTCTTCTTCCTTCTTCCTATTCTACTTTTATTTATTTTCTTCTTATTTCCCTCTTTCTTGCTACTCTTCTTCTTCCATATCTGATTTTTCTTTCTCTGATTCTTCTTTCTCTTATTCTTCTTCTACTTCTTATTCTTTTTTCTCTTCTTTCTCTTATTTCTTTTTTTGCTCTTCTTGCTCTTTCTCTTTTTCTCTTCTTGTTCTTTCTCTTCTTGCTCTTTCTCTTTTTTCTTCTTGTTCTTTCTCTTCTTGCTATTTCTCTTTTTCTCTTCTTGTTCTTTCTCTTCTTGCTCTTTCTCTTTTTCTCTTCTTGCTCTTTCTCTTTTTCTCTTCTTGCTCTTTCTCTTTTTCTCTTCTTGTTCTTTCTCTTCTTCCTCGTCAACCTCTTCTTCTTCCCTCTCTTATATTTATATCTCTTCTTCCTCGTCTTCCTCTTCTTCTTCTCTCTCTCTTATATTTATTTTTTTTCTTTATCTGATTCTTTTTTTCTTATCCTTTTTCTACTTCATATTCTTTTTTCTCTTCATTCTCTTATTTCCCTTTTTGCTCTTCTTGCTCTTTCTCTTTTTCTCTTTTCGTTCTTTCTCTTCTTGATCTTTCTCTTTTTCTCTACTTGTTCTTTCTCTTCTTTAACCTTCTCTTTTTCTCTTCTTGTTCTTTCTCTTCTCCTTCTTCTCCCTCTTCCTCCTCTTCTTCTTCGTCTTCCTCTTCTTCTTCTCTCTCTTATATTTATTTCTCTTATTTCTCTGATTCTCCTTTTTCTTCTTTTTCTTCTTTCTCTTCTTCTTTCTCTTCTTCTTTCTCTTCTTCTTTCTCTTCTTTCTTTCTTTTCTTCATTCTCTCCTTTTTTTTCTCTTCTTCTATCTCTTCTTCTATCTTTTCTTATTTATCATCTTCTTTCTCTTCTTATTTCTTTCTATTTTTATTCTTCTTCTTCTTTTTCTTCTTCTTCTTATTTTTCTTCTTATTCTTCTTCTTCTTCTTCTTCTGCTTTCTCTTGTTTTTCTTCTTCTTCTTTCCCTTCTTCGTCGTCGACTGCTCCCACTTCATCAACTAAGTCCACAACGCAAGCGCCTCAAGCTCAAGCAGCAAACACTTCGTCGACTGCTTCGTCGCCTACTTCGTCGACCATGTCAACCGCACCAGCCGTCGCTGGTCGCAGAAAGATTCTTTTAAGAATCGCTTACATTTACAATGTATTTTTGAAAGTCTAAAGCATTTCTTTCATTCAAAAGATATTGTAATACTAAATCCATTTGTGTCCTTATATATATGTAAGTATGTACATTTATTCGCCAAGGTTTCCATTGTGTCCATGTAGATGGAACAATAATATGTGCGGTAGAGGATGCTAGTGCCGAGTTGTTCACCTTATAGTCATTAACATTGTTCACTTGCAAAATTCATCGAGAGATGTCGCCGTAGTAGGATGCGTCAGCGATTATTGTACGGCACCTACTTGTCTTCCATTACAACAATCGACATTGAAACGAACAAAAAAAGTGTTCATCCAACAAACTCTATCAGCTACCGCTTTCTCACAAGCTCCATCTTATGCCATCTTTGAAGTATTTACACCTTGAAATCTCGTGTTCAGTTTACTTCTTGCCCTACAATATCTCTTGATGAGTCACTCTTAATGGTTGGTGGTTAATATTGGCCAGATTTCGCCATCTAACCAACATCTACAATTCTAGAAAGTTAATTTTTCTAATTGCGGGCGCACCTCGGCAGGGAATTTCAAGCCCTCTAAATGTATTGCTGACAAAAAATAAAAGCTTTATACAAAAATTCAACGGCCGTTTGGAGACGGCTTAGAATGAACTGTAGGTCGCTTCATTTGTTGAAAAAATATCTAGGCACACACTCCCCTGCGGCGATTCTTCCGAAATCCCAGTAAATGTTGAAGCTTGAATATTAGCTTCCGTTTCTTCAGTTATCAGTTCTTAGCTCAGATTTGTAAATTTGTTTTTAGTTCTGTATTCTTTGGTACAGAAAAAGAATTTTTGAAGCGCTTTAAGAGAATTTGCCAACCGAGTCTTGCTGAGAATTGAGAAAAATTATATAAACAATAACAATAATCATCTGAGTTACTGAATTACAACCAACTTCAATGTAAACTACATCCATACACATGCACATTCCGGCATCCTCAGCATTAGTTTAGAGTTCAGATATCAAGAGTTCAAGGCAAAAAAAAAAAGCGTGTTCTCTCATTCAAATGCTTTCACTACGTCAATGGCGTTCATGAGCGGATCACGTGTTGAAAAGTTTGGTAATTTTTTTTAGAGCAACGGTACTTTAAAGTCTGCGCTATTTATCTCTTTTGTTTCATATTTAAGTTTCATGACTTCTGTATTCACAGTTGGTTTTTCAAAACATTCAACGTTTTAATTAAATAAATATTTTTGTTGTTAAGATATTGTCTTTTGGGAAAGTTCTCTAATAGAAATGGTATATAAACGCTTTGCGACCAGGGTTTAATCAGCAATTCGCCAGTGTATTTCACGATAGCAACAGTTGATTTAGAAAGATGAAATCCTTCACAGTACTATTCCTTGTAGCCGTCACTATGGCGATCGCTGAAGGTATGTGCCGTGCCTGCCGTTAATTATTATGCTAATTTGAATATATATTCTAATTGTGAAAAAAATTAATCTTACAGCACAATTCGGGGGTAGACGTGGAGGCCCAGGTGGTTCACGTGGACGTGGTGGACTTGGTGGTCGTGGTGGTCCAGGCGGTCCTGGTGGATTTGGTGGTCCTGGTGGATTTGGTGGTCCTGGTGGATTTGGTGGTCCTGGTGGTCGAGGTGGTCCGCGTGGTCCAGGCGGTCCAGGTGGTCCTGGAGGTCCAGGTGGTCCAGGCGGTCCTGGTGGTCCTGGTGGTCCTGGTTGTGGCGGCCCAGGTGGTCCAGGCGGTCCAGGTGGTCCAGGCGGTCCAGGTGGCCCATGGGGTCCATGGGGTCCTTCAAACTCAACTGCTGCCCCATCCAACTCTTCATCAACTGTATCTTCATCAACTGTATCCACAACGACTGTGGCCGCTTCTAACTCAACCCTTGCACCAGCCGCTTCTAACTCAACCCTTGCACCAGCCGCTGCTAACTCTACCGTTGCATAATTTATTTAATTTTTAAGCTCTAATAAATTGCTTTCAAAAAAAATGAAAAAAAAATAAAATAAAAAATATTTCGAGCAAAAAAAAACTATTGCAGCCTAAATCCATATAAGACCTTATTTCCATAATATATATATATGTATATGTTGTTTAAGGACTCCGCCCCACGCGTATTTACATTGAACACAAATATTTCCAGAGGGTGACGCAAGTGCCAAGATGTCGATATATTCACCTCATAAATATTAACAATATATTTGAAAAAATTTACCGAGAGATGGAGCTGTCATCGCCTTCTTCTCTGGGAGGAGATCTTTTTTAACCTGAAATTGTAGTCCAAAATAACTAGTCACCTTCCGGAACGGTCCTTACATGAAATGTGCATATACTAACGGAGATCTTCTATTCTGATTTTAGACAGAACGATATTCCCTGCTTATAATACATATTTTTCAAAGTATTTTGTCCTCCAAAAGTTTGTTTAACGTAGCATTTTACGCAGCTTCAAGGTATCTTAGCAAGCTGATATTTTTTCAACTACTATTTGCAAATAATGCTGTTCATCAAGTATAACGGCATAAAAGTTGATAAATACGTGTACATAGATGTGTACACATACATACATATTATATATAGTTGAGACGGGAGTGGTAATAAATATGCATGTTTTGAAATTTGATATGGACAAAAGTCATCATTCAGTGAACAAGAAAAGAAAATGTTAAAAAAAAAAACAATAAGTAGAAAATAATCAGTGTTACATACATATACCCTTAAGTAAATGAACGAGTATCCATATTGTTGGAGCAACATCAAGACGCAAAACCACAAATTGGAGGAGGAGCTCGACCGAAAATCTCTTCTATATATATATATATATATATATATATATATATATATATATATATATAAATACATATGGTTTCTGCATATATTTACTATTTGAACATAAAAGTTAATAAATGAAATTTGATTAAGATATTAATGAAACGCTAAAAAATGCTGAATAGTGTCCACAAAAATTATTAGACAAAACAATATTGTGTACATATATTTTTCCATAATTTTTTATGTATTTTTTTCAATAATATATTTATTTTTATATAACGTTTATAATTTCTTATATATATTTTTTATAATTTCTTATATATATTTTTTATAGTTTCTCATATATTTATATATAATATTTAACATAATTCTTTATAATTTTTATATACTTTATATGTAGTATATATATATTTTTTTATAATTTTTTTTTTATTTATTTTCATATATTTTATATAATTTTTTATAAGAGTTTATATATTTGTTTTATAATTTCTCATATATTTATTTATAATATTTAACATAATTTTTTAGTATTTTTTATATACTTTATATATATATATATATATATTTTTATAATTTTTTTTTATTTATTTATCATATATTTTTATATAATTTTCTATAAGAGTTTATATATTTGTTTTATAATTTCTCCTATATTTATTTATAATATTTAACAAAATTTTTCATATACTTTATAATATCTTTTTATATGTTATTTTATATATTTTTTTATGAAATGTATTTATATAATTTTCATATATTTATTTATAATATTCAACATATTATTTTATTATTTTTTATATACTTTTTAAATATATCATATATCATTTTTTATACATTTTTTATAGTTTCTCCTATATTTATTACATATTTTTTTATTATATGTTATATAAATCATTTTATATTTATTATAAACATTCATATATTTTTTCATAATTTTTTAGATATTTTTAGTAATTATTTATACAATTTTTTAAATATTTTTATATGTCCTTTTATATATTTTTTATATAATTTTATTTTTTTCTTATAATTTTTATAAATCTTGTATATTTTATTACTAATTTTATTTATCTATGATTTTTAAAAAAAAATTTATTATTTTTTATATAAATTATTAATTCTATATACCATACATATATTTTGCTTTATAATTTTTTGTATATTTTTCTATAAAGTTTTAAATAGATTTTTTAATATGTGTTAAGCATGATTTTATATTTATTAAAAGTTTCATGTATTTTTTTTACAATTCTTTCTATATTTATTTTCTTTAACTTTTTATATAATTTGCTATACAATTTTTTTAAATTTTTTATATATTCTTTTATAAATATTTTATATATATGTTTCATAATGTTTTTTATTTTTCCCTATATATCTTTATATATTTTTCTATATGCATTTCATAAGTTTTTATATATTTGTTCCGTTAACTTTTTTATATTTCCTTTACAACTTTTTTATATATTCTTTGATAATTTTTTTTTTCTACCAAAGAAATTAAAATTGGCGCGCAACGAAGCAATGACGCCATTTTGTTGTTAAAGACGAGAAAATTTGTTAAAAATTTATGTAAATTATTGCAAATTTTTATTTTGAAACAAAACAAATGTGTAAACGTATCTCAAAATGAATAGCTTGCTGCGTTTCACCAAAACTGTAAAAAATCGCAAAACCAATCATCGATAAAAAAATGATCGATTTCTCAGCAGGCGTCGTTATTGCAGTTAAAGAGAATGGCAAAAGCTAGAATTCATTGTAAATGAAAAATTGAAAGCCGTTTAACAATTTCGGTATTTTTAACTTTAAGTAACCGACATTGAAAAAGCAATATTTTCAAAACATTGCTGATTTGTGCCTACAACCTTATGAACGATGTGAGCGAAGATGTCTTTTATGAGCACCGCTAACGCATCTACTCGTATGATCGCTTCAAAAGCCACGTTGTACTGCTTAAGCATACTCAAAGCATCTACAGAGACGCATCTTAAGTTATATTAGAACATTCGTTAGTAAAGTTTGGAGTGTCATTTTTTCCTAAGATGATTTTTTTTAACATAAAATCAAAATTAAATCGTATCGATGTTTGAATAACATAACATGAGTTGAGATGAGGATAACAAGCGACGTCTGAAAACTCATATGCACTACCGTTACTTAACAAACCAGGTTTCTCATCGAAAATAGAGCTATCTCCTTCCTCACGCTACAAAGGCAGCAACATAAAAAAACGCAAAAACAAATATGTGGAGCTGCAAAGTTACGCTCTAAATGGCACAGCGTTAATTGCCTGATCGGCGGCTAACCATTGTCTCATCTCCATGTGTGTTACAGACTTCCAAATCCCGTTGCACATTGCATGCGGTTGACTGGCTGAGTGGCTGGCTGGCTGGCTGGCTGCCTTAATCACTGCTGGCATGCAATTGGCTGTGTTGGAAAACCAGCAGTCAAGATAATAAAAGCAAAGCATTAAATTCGAGAAACCCAAAAACCAAACGGAACCCGAACTAAAATAAACTCAAGTAAGCGAGTAGTTAAAATGAAGAAGAAGCGCCGACATCACTTTATGACATTGCTTGACTTGCTGAAGAAATCCCTGTCGACATACATATGTATGTATACAGTAAAATGTATATTATGGAGTGAGCCACACTTATTGCAAAAAAAGACAAATGAAGACGAAGCCAAGAGGCATAAGAAAAAAAAGTTGAAGAAATTAAAAATAGCGACAGCAATACTTCCTTAAGACAGGAAACCCAAGCATCACCTCTGTGCTCTCTGTGAACTTCCTTTGGTCAGCTGCGTTATGCTTGCAGCAGCAAGCGGAAATTGTGGCAGGAAAGCAACCGTAACTGAAACGGCACAACTACAGAAGCTCACAAGCAGCACATGTAACAACCACAAGTACAGTAAGCATGCAGTGGATAGGAGAGAGCAGTGAAGCGTGAACATGAAAAGAAGGTAGAAGAGAAATAAGTGCAGTGAAATTTTGCCAGCAACGCATTACTTAATGAATTGGATTTGTTCTTCGTTATTTTCCGCCCCTTTTTTTTTTAAGTATGCACAATATTTATATTCATATTAGGGTTATCGATAATACGTTGATTTCGCAGAGTAAAGAAGAACCAGTGATTTAACAGAGATAGACTTTCGCCCAGCCATTTATTTCTTGGAAGCAAAAAACCAGAAATCTGTCAAAGCAGTGCAAAACTCCCAGCACCACAGCAACAATGTTTATTTAGAACCTTTTCATCTGAATACCATAGATAACAGACGGTTTTTATTCTTTATACATCCAAGTAGTAAGTTCACCTACTGCTGATACTTCTCTATAGTGATTTTCAGCCGGTGGTCGGTGTCTAGATGTTTTTCCAACAAATGTAAGCGACCGCAGTTTTTTCTTAGCCGCTCCCGAAAGGATCCATCAGCCATCAGCCATCAGCCATCAGTCTATGAGGCTCTTTTTATTGCATAGCAGATGTAACCTTACGGTTAATACGGTTACCGCTTCTTATCTGATACCTAAAGAGGCACAAATATGTTCTCGACTCGACTCTAGTCTTAAAAATTCGCTTAGGAGACAGTATCTCATTCGTAAAATCACGTCCGCAGCAACCCTAATTCACAATTTCTGGCGTTTTTACTATAAGTTCTCGTTGATTACATGATTGTTTGCTGCTCCTGCAGTTGCTTCATTATAGTTTGCCATAGTTTTCTGTTACAGTTATGCACTTCACAAGCATACATAAGCACGCGAGGCAACTAAAATAAACCATTAATAAATTTTTATGCACCAATTCGCGTTTAAGTATTTATTTTTATTCATTTATTTCATTTTTTTTTTTTGCGAGCACTTGTAGCACTATCGGTTTGCCGCTTTTTGTTATACGGATGTAAAAATGTTTGCAAACGTCATAATTTTTCAGTCTCTATGAATTTGGTTTTTCCTCGTTGATTTCATTGATAGATGCCATACTTGCGGCATTAAAAAATCTTAGAAATCCTCCAAATATTGTAATTTCTTTAACATTTCCATTTTTATGTACGACCTGACCTTAACAAGAAATAAAGTCTAAAAAGTGAGGTTAGGCACGTGCATAGTGTACTATTTTTATCCTTTTAAGCTTTCAAATTTCTTGAAGTAAAAGCGAAAAGAAATCAGCATGAAGCCA